AACTCCCTGTGTAATTGACAGTAATCCTCTTCTGGAAACCATTTAATCACTGATTCTAATCCTGACCCAAGATAATTTCCTCTGAAATTTCTCTTGAGGACTTGAAAATCAGAATGCATCAAGAATCAGTCAAATACGTGATACCTTCAATAGAATAACCGTTATATTTCCGGTGCTGACGTCACTTCCCTTACATTGGATAACGACGTTTCTTATGGTCTATTTCTACCAAAAGACGTCATTTCCTGATTAGATGGGCCTTGTACTGCTATCACCTCACTGACGTCACCTCCAGTCATCTGTACCTAGTTCTTGAAGCAGTTGGTACTAGAGGTGCTCATAACCCATCTGACACCTAATAGACAGGATAATCAAGGGTGCATCAATCTGATGCTGCCGGTGTCGGATCCTCTGATTTTGTGAGCTGAGCAGGAACCAAGACGGGGAGTGGAATTCTGTGCCTGTGTATAACTCGCTGCAACGGAAGATTTAAGATATAAAAGTGGCTTCTATGTGGGTCTGTAGCCAAGAGAAAGAACTTGAGAACTCTGATTGGAGAAGCCTGACTGGGTGATCCACTGTAGGCCCCAAGACAGGAATAGTAAGTGTCTATGGCCCAACGGACACATGGTGGTAAACTGACTTTTGGCTACAAAATCTGGGAGCGATCTTAAAGTAATTGAAGTCCAATGTTGATAATGGGTCAGACTAGAATAGTCCAGAGCATGGAGTTCTGAAACTCTTGCCATGGCTAGGAGGAAGAAGGAAGGAGGAAGGAGGAAGGAGGAAGGAGGCTTTCCTGAATTTTTGGAGTAAGGTGGCCTTAGGGGCTCGTAAGATTCTGTTAAAAGTGCCGATAACACAACAGACAGATTCCACTTGGGGATGATACGAGGTGTGCGAACATCTTCTTGTAGGAAGGATCTCATTAGTCTATTTAAAATGGGATGTCAGATGTCCCATGTCAGAACTTATTGTCCTGACGTAGATGTAGTAGAAAGTCTGCTACCATAGGGATGGAAATTGTATTAGTTATAATCCCTTGTCATCTTCTCCGCTGGATGTACTTATCCCTCCATTGTCATATATAAGGGAGGATGAAGGTCTCGATGATCTTGCCACAGCTTCAGAGGCAAGTCCAGAGTACTTGGATGTCTGCATCTTTTGTGTGATAACTTCCAGGCGGTTAGATGTAGGCTGGGCAGATTGCTGTAGAATATGTTTGAACTTGGCTGTCGTAACAGATCTCAATGGAGAGGTAACTGGAGAGGCTCTTCCATTAATAGACTTAATAATCTGGGGAACCACACTCTGCTGGGCCAGATTTGTGCCATCAAGATTATCATTCAATGCATCTCCTCCACCTTGTGGATGACCTTGTCAAGGAGAGACCTTGGTGGGAATGCTTATGCAAACAGACCCGCCAATCCATCGATAGCGCATCAATCTGGAGAGCCATTGGATCGGGAACTGGACTGACATAAACCATAAGTTGATGGTTTAGGCAGGTGGCAAAGAGATCTAGATGCAGTGTGTCCAATAACGTGGTTATCCAAGCAAAGATCTCGGGATGTAAGGTCCATTCAGTTGCCACTATTCTCCCCTGGCGGAAAAGGCTCTCGGCAAGGATGTTCAGCTTCTCGGGACTATGTCTCGCTTCCATCCGGCAACTGGAGGGATCTGCCAAGGCAAACAATCATGTAGTCTCCATCATCAGAAAACTGGATCTGGTTCCTCCATGTTTCTGAATGGCTGCCACTACTGTGGTGTTGATCGTGGCTATGAGGATGGACAATTGCCAGAATGGCGTAATAAATGGCCTTCATTTCCCTGCAGTTGATATGTAGAATCCTCTCTCCGGTGTTCCAAGATCCTTGTACTGTGGGATTGTCTATATGGGCTCCCCATCCCGAATCTGACGTGTCTGTAAATACATGGTGTTCGGGCATCGGGTGTGGGATCATAGTGAGTTGATCCATGCCTGAAGAGGATGTAACATCAACCCTCCTCTGAAGGTGATATCCTGTAGAGACGTTGGGTTGCCTAGAAGAGACATACACCTCCTTAGAGACCTGCTTGGTTGAATTGATAGGGATTGAATTATCGTAATAGTCTTGACGAATCAATCCTCTGGTGGACATAGATATCCCTTGTGGAGTTGGAAACACACTCTGATGCATCCGATGTCTTGAACCGGAGTGGTCTCGGACTTGGAGGACTAGGAAGCCTGGGTAGGTGGTCAGAAATAGCTGAACCAGAAATAGCATGTTCTGGTGAAAATGATCTTCTTCTTGGTCTGGTGCCAGGAAATCGTCCAGGTACCCATGCATTCATACTAGATGGAGGTGGGCAAACCTGATGACTGGCGCTGTAATCCTGGTAAACAGCCAAGGGGCTATTCATATGGAACTCATATAGTCGACCATTGATTGGGAAGCGCAGGTACCTCCGTGATGATGGGTGTATAGGGACATGAAGATAGGAGGCGTCTTGAAGGTCGAGGCTGATGAGCAAATCTCCTGTCCTTAAAGTTGATCGCAATTTCCATATGCATTCCATCTGGAACTTTGGAGGAGGTACCAAGGAAGGATTTGTTGAGGATCTTTAAGTCTATTATCATCCTAATGTCGGGCGAATTCTTCTTCAGAACTAAGAATACCAGAGAATAAAAACCTTTGGTCTTGTTGCTCTCCGATGAGTTTCCAAATCCCTCGCTTCTTTAGTAGCTTCCTGATGGTCAGATCTGTGGCCGCTACCATGGCTACGACTTGTCGAAATCTGCGGCTGACGGACCGGATATGCCAGGATGGTGTTGGTTGGTTTGCTGTTTAATGCCACACTCAGCAATACTCAAGCTGTATGACCCTGGTCTGTAAATAATGGAGTCTGGCCAAGACAATCCAGTGATTAATATCATGATCGATGACATACATCAACCAAGTCAGCGAGCCTTACCACCTGATCATGTTAATCGCGTCTTACAACGAGCATAGTCACCTTTTACAGCAAGTATGGGTTGCTGAAGACCTATTCTATCCAAGGTCTTCATGGGTCTGCCTGGATGGGATGCCTCTTGAAATGCAGTTTTTATCCATGAGCCACGACGTCTAGGACCCGGCGGTCGGGCGTTATCTGTTTCCAATTATTGGCATATGACAGAAGATGCCCTCCCACTGGCCCCCGAAGCGGCATTATGTTGAAAGACGGTAGGCGTAAATCTTAGTCAATAGACATAACCAGGTTGAAAGGGTCAATAACGGCGGAATGGTTGGCAAGGAAGTCAGAACCTGCATTCACCTCTGCCCCCGGCGATAAGATCCTTGTTTCTTGTAGCCGGGCTGACGAAACGAATCCATAAAAGATTGATGTTTGTCATACCCCCGACTCGGTTGGAATGAATCCTTCCCGGAGGGAACAAACTTCTTCTTAGGTGGCTGTTTATATGACAAGTCTTTCTGATCCCAGGAACGCTTCCATATGTACATTGGCAGCTAGGTTGATAGTTGACACCTGGAATCATTCAGTTGTGTCTTGTCTGACCTCATCTATGACATGTCCCAATTTGCCATTGAACATCTTGGGAGCAGATATCGGTTGTGACATCATCAACCTTTGTGTGGTTGGAAACAGCTCTTGTGCTGGTAGTTGTTGACGCTGTACAAAAGTAGCTGTGAAGACATCCTGACTTGGGTGGAGAGTAAGTCTTCCTGCATTCTGACTACAGTGTCAAATGCTATGGATGAGTCCGACCTGATCTGCCCAAATGATGTCTGCAACGGTGGAATGATGTGTCTGATTCCGGCGACAAACAAGTTGTTATATGTGCCAATGTCCATTGAATGTCTGGATGCCATAGACAGGTCTTTAATCTGGGCAGCAGGTAACATGACTTTAGTATTAGGGTTGCGTACTAGCTTCATCAAGTATTCGTCCAAAACTTGATCGTCCGGCAGTGGAGAATCATGTGTTTTATACAACTTCCACTTCAATAGAGGTAAGGGTAGTCAGCCATCATGTCTGAGCTTTAGTAGACTTTCAGAAGCCTGATGTGCCACCTTGCCTGCAACACTTGGCCATGGCAATGTCTGGTGGATATGTTGAGATGATGTAGGAGCATGACATCCTCTGTATTCCGGCATCTTAGGTGGTGAATTTTCTGTCATTGGAGGTTGGAGTATAGGCATAAGATGATATAACCCCTCAATAAGTTCCACAAAGCTGTATCTCTCTGTATAAATCCCACTAGGGTGAATCTTCAAACTGATTAACCTCCTCATATAAGTGCGATTCCGCCTCAGAATGATCATGGGTAACTCCCGGGAGGGTTGGATGTTCGTCATAATCCATACACTCAACGTGTTCCCGGTGCGGTTAATCATCCGCTGGTCTCCAGGACTCCGCTATGAGTAAGATCCATGCGGCTTGTGACGAGTGCCCATGTATAACGGAACCCGTATGGAAATGATGGTCCTCCATCAAACTGCTAGGCTGTCCCATGATGTAATCTCCGTCTCGGTCAGTAGACCCTGGACAGTCCCGTGCGGTCCGAGCAGTCGGCTTGGGTTCCGTCGGTTGATGGTGACTATGCGGTTGAAGTGACGCTCCCGTAACAGTCTGCTGGGCTACCGTGGGGTCTGTGTGGTGACTGCACGGTGTCTTAGGTGAGGAAGATGGCCTTGCGGTACCCAGACGGGACCCATGCGGAGATCTAGATGCCGTGTCTCACGGGAGGGTAAAGCTTGGAGCTTCTACCTGGCTGGTCCGTATTGTCATCTGGGGTAGGCTGTACAGCTGTGGCTGTGGTCTGAACAATCACGTTGACCGGAATCACGTTGACCGCAATCACGTCGACCGCATTCACACCGACCTTCTTCTTAGCAGCTTATCTTCTTCTAGCTTTAGTCAAGGCTTCTGCTAGTTTGTTGAATGCCTTCTTAGACAGAGTAGAGCACTGATCACATCTTGCCTTTTCAGTGCATTTAGCTTCTCTGCACTTCCAGCTGTTGCTGTGAGGATCTCCCATGATAATCGAAAGGCCATACTTCTTACAAGCAGGAAGAGGGGGAGACTCCATGACGACCTCACAAACACACTCACACCAGCAATACTTATGTGAGTATGATCCTTACTACAATTAGCAGCTTTTAATATGACTTAATATATCTTTTTTAAGGAAACAATAGAACAATCTTAGATTAAATGTCACTACAATCAAGTGCTTGATCGTTCACTCAAGCACACAGAGGAAAGAAGTGAGGTTTCCCTCCATTACGCACGTCATAGCTTGGGTTGCTATAGTGCTATTGAGAAACAACTAATTGTATGTAATTGAAAGTGAAATGGACGTCTGTTGAAAACTCCTGGTTTTTAGTCAATTGATGGTTGATAATCGAATAAGTCAACAGCAGGTGGATCATCAGAATTGTAGACATCTGGATCAGATCAGATGGAGTATCAGACACTAGACATCAGTCCTGGGTTTGATCTCCTGCATACTAAGAAGGTTCCAACTGACTGGATTATGCCATGTCAGAATCAGATGTTTTCTTCTTGACCGTTTCCCTCCTTTGACATTTTCCAGGATTTAGTGATGCTGAGAAATTCATCCCTTGGGAGAAAAGCACACTGGACTCATCTATATACTAAACAGCTCTGCACTTCCATGTTTGTGGAGGAGACACCATCTTGTTTCCCACAACATGTTTATCACCAAAGAAACTAAAACGCCAGGGTAACATATCCTCTTCAGCTTCTACGCAGGTGAGAAACACGGTCTAGTCTTCTTGTAACCAACGTAAACCGAAATTCATTCATTACATGGTGTGAAAACGATAAAGTTTCATGTTATGACAACTAAAAAAAACCCCAATTTCTTCTTCTTCTTTTTTCCGTTAAAAGGAACAGAGAAGGGAAAGATGTGAAGATGTTTAGAAAGGGATATGCCATTAGTATCAGGACTTCTGTTGGAAATCTATAGGTTTTATAGCATGATGACAGCCAAAATACAGGATATCTGGAACTGAAGTAGTAGAGGCTTGCAAGAATTACTTGAGGGGCAATGACTCCAGAGTCACCAGGGAATCAGAATAACAAGCAACTAAACAAGAAAACAGAGTTATCACTATCCCCCGCCATAGGACACATTAGAATTTTGCTTGTTCATAAATTAGTAGTGAACATAAACTATACAAAAGAGTCCTATAAAGCCTTTAAAAGGGACAGCCACTTTGGCGACTTAAAGTCATTAGAAACAAGTATTTGTCACAGAGTGACGAAATATCCCCTGCCATATACACCATAGTACCAAATATGAAGACAGTCCAGCGATTAGTTCTTGAGATATTGTGGCAACACCGTTTTCCAACTCCAAAAACAGATTTGCCTGCTGTGACCTTGAAAATGGGGTCAAGGTCACCAAATCTGACAGGTGTATGCGGTGTCTGTATATACACTATAGTTCCAAATATGAAGACAATCCAGCGATTAGTTCTTGAGATATCGCGGCAACACCGTTTTCTAACTCCAAAAGCAGATTTGCCTGCTGTGACCTTGAAAATGGGGTCAAGGTCACCAAAACCAACTGGTGTCTGCGGTGTCTGTATATACACCATAGTTCCAAATATGAAGACAATCGAGAGGTTTAGTTCTTGAGATATCGCGGCAACACCGTTTTCCAACTCCAAAAGCAGATTTGCCTGCTGTGACCTTGAAAATGGGATCAAGGTCACCAAAACCGACTGGTGTCTGCGGAGTCTGTATATACACTATAGTTCCAAATATGAAGACAATCCAGTGTTTAGTTCTTGAGATATCGCGGCAACACCGTTTTCCAACTCCAAAAGCAGATTTGCCTGCTGTGACCTTGAAAATGGGGTCAAGGTCACCAAAACCGACTGGTGTCTGCGGTGTCTGTATATACACCATAGTTCCAAATATGAAGACAATCCAGTGTTTAGTTCTTGAGATATCGCGGCAACACCGTTTTCCAACTCTAAAAGCAGATTTGTCTGCTGTGACCTTGAAAATGGGATCAAGGTCACCAAAACCGACTGGTGTCTGCGGAGTCTGTATATACACCATAGTTCCAAATATGAAGACAATCCAGTGTTTAGTTCTTGAGATATCGCGGCAACACCGTTTTCCAACTCTAAAAGCAGATTTGTCTGCTGTGACCTTGAAAATGGGATCAAGGTCACCAAAACCGACTGGTGTCTGCGGAGTCTGTATATACACCATAGTTCCAAATATGAAGACAATCCAGTGTTTAGTTCTTGAGATATCGCGGCAACAAACAGGTGGGACGTACGGACGGACGTACGGACGGTCGTGAATACTATATCCCCCGCTTCGCGCTTTCGCGCGGCGGGGGATAAAAAATGATCAAATGTGAAATTAATATACACAATTGGTCCCTTCTATGGATAACTCAGTCTTGATAAGTATCACTTAGATAAGCTAACTTCAGTAGTTTCTGCGAAAACTTGCCCCCATTGCACACACTATGCACCAAGTAAAAATAGCATTGACCAAGGGCCGTAACTCTGTAAAAAATAATGCCCAGTAATATAAACTTCTAAAATTCATTAATAGCAAAAGGCAACAATTCAGCATGTGTCTGATAAATGTGGAAAATTTCATCTGGAATCGAACCATACCCTTATTGTTTTCTAAGTCCAACTTGTTGCCATGGAAAGGTAAAAAATAAAACTTTTTATAAGTGCTAAATCTGAAAGGCACCAGTTCAGTATGTGCCTGGTAGACATGCAAAGTTTTGTAAGAAAGTATTTAAAGATTTTTAATTTATGCTCCGGAAACGAACACCACCCTAATAGAACATAGGTCCAACTTGTTGCCATGGAAACGTAAAGAATTAAAATATCTAAAATTCCTAACAGCAAAAGGCACCAGTTCAGTATGTGCCTGGTAGACATGCAAAGTTTTGTAAAAAAGTATTTAACAGTTTTTGAGTTACGCTCTGGAAATGAACACCACCCTAATAGAACCTAAGTCCAACTTGTTGCCATGGAAATGTAAAAAATAAAAATTTCTAAAATTATTAAATAGCAAAAGGCACCTGTCTGATAGACATGCAAAGTTTTGTAGAGAAATATTTAACGGTTTCTGAGTTATGCTCCGAAAACGATTTTGGGATGCATGCACACACCCGCACACGGACGCACGGACAGACGGAACCCATCTCAATATCCCCGCCAACTTCGTTGGTGCGGGGGATAATTAGTCTGGCCTTATAACATATCAAAACTTGACATAATTTACTCCTTTGGCTAACTACATGAAAGATGTCCATATCACTAAATGTGTTTGACAAAGACAGACGGTCATTTTAATATAGTGAGTATGGTTTTACGCCACTTTTAGCAATATTCCAGCAATATCTCAGCGGGGAACACCAGAAACAGGCTTCACACATTGTACCTATGTACCCGGGTCTTCGGCTTGATGAGTGAAAAGCTTTAACCACAAGGCTACCCAACCATCTTTATTTTAAAACAAGCTAAAGTGACTAGTGTCCTACTCAGCATGGGGCCTACACACCTGATAAGTTGAAAGATAAGGTATGTCAGGGATTTACTGATAACAAAATACATCTCCACCTACCTAACAGGTTCATCATATGCTGCTAGCAAAGGTTGCTGCATGCCATTCAGAAACCTATCAAGAAAGCTATAGATAAGATTTGTTTGTTTGTTGTTTAACGCCACACTCAGCAATATTTTCCAGCTATATGATGGCAGTCTGTAAATAATTGAGTCTGGACAAGACAATTCAGTGATTGACATCATGAGCACCAATCCACGCAATTGGGATACGACATGCATCAATTAAGTAGCAAACCTGACCACCCGATCCTGTTAGTTGCCTCTTACGACAAGCATAGCCGCCTTTTACGGCAAGCATGGGTTGCTGCAGACCTATTTTAACCTGGATCTTCACAGGTCCTATAGATAAGAAGGAGCGCGGACAATGTACAGAACAATCTTACGATTTTCACTCACACACTTGTAACGCTTTACAATTCACATTCTTTGAACTCATGAGATTGAAAGAGAGATTTGAAGGTGTACTTTCACCACATTAACCCAACTGTCAAATGTTCCTACCTCACATAGGGAAAACTTGAATCATTTGATGACTACATGTGACACTACAGGTGTCATTGTCTCTATTCTGGATATGGAAATGAGAGAAAGTATTTGGCTTGACTTCTGATATGCTGCTGTGAGGATGTTGTTTCAACTTAGGATGTGATAATAAAGCAGAAATGCTCTATTTTCACCAGCAAGGATGCACCAGCAATTCTATCTCTACAAGCTGTATTTTATTTTGTAAGATGTTTTAGCCACACTCAGCAATATTCAAGCAAAATGATGTCAACCACCAAATAAGACAGTATGGTCCAGACAAACCAGTGATTAAAGTCCAACACATCCGGGCTAAATGACATGCAATTAACATCATCTTTCTGGCAAATTGAGGGGTAAACTCTTCGATTGCCTGGTGGACAGGTTAATGTGGAGGGGACACATGGGCTCCTATAACCCACTGACCTAGAGAGGATTATGATGGTACAAATAGAATCCTGTTCTTGCAACTGGGATGTGCAGGGAGTAAGCCTAAATGCAAGTTCTATCTATCATCATTTCCTACAAATTGTCCCTGGACATGTGCACAGGAGTAGCAAGTCTCCTGGCAGATCTACTCATAAGAGCACCCATCCAGTGTGCATCTCTTTTACTCTCCACCACAATCCTGGAGGTGTTTGGCATGAATTACTGTAATCACCAAGGGCTGTGGGCTGCGCATGTATGGTCAGGGGATGTGATGAATGGTTTGAGGTAGTCTGTTTAGAACTGTCTTGGTGTTCAGGTTTCAGAGAAGATTTGGTTTGGTGAACAGGCATTGTATTAAAATTACACTGTAACCAAAACCTTAAAGATATTGGTTTCCTACAAAACACTTGACATGTTTCACCTAATATTAAAATTTAAAAGACATCAAGGATGTAATAAATGAAATCACTGCCAAAAAAAGGGTTAAACATATTTATTATTGATAATTATTAAATAAGATACTTACATAATTTATTTTTGACTGAGCAATGTTTCTCATCTTCAGTCCTTCAACATGGCATACTCTGAGGCTGTGGGCAAGGACCAAACAATGACTTTGTCAGAATTGGTTCAGAGTGACTTTCTGTATTGTGACATCTGCCAGCAGCAGTACTGTCAGCCTGTGCTCTTGCCATGTCTCCATAGTTTCTGTGTCTCATGTGTGTCTCATCTTAAATCGGACATCAGCAGGAATGGCAACTCATTGCTACAACTAACCTGCCCTACATGCAAGTCAGCAGTCACAAAGCCAGACATCAGTCTCAACCAGCTTAACATGTTCTTACTTAACTTGTGTCAGCTGTTGAAGTTAAAAGCAGCAAACTCACGTTTATGTGAGTACTGTGCATTTGATGGGAAAAAGATAAGTGCTACAACTCTGTGTCTGGAATGTCAGGACGACATGTGTGATCCATGCACACGTGCACACCACCGTACACGAGTCACACGGGATCATAAACTTGCTCCACATGAGCAGATCAGAAAGGGTTTATATGATCATGATATACGAAGCCATCAGCAGATTATGTGTTCTGACCATAAAGAAAGTCATCTGAATGTAATGTGCGAAAACTGCTTACAGCTAATATGCCAAGATTGTGCCCTCGAGGCTCATGCTGATCACAAGGTGTCCTCAGTGGAACCTGGACTATCCAAGTACAAGAAGCAGCTGATGAGATTTTTACAAGAACTGGAGACACAAGTACCAGCAATACAGGACTATGTTGCTTTCCTGTACACACATGAGACAAATATAAACAAGAACCAGAAGGAAATTAGCAAAGAGATCACAAACCAAGCAGATCGCTTCCATAAACTGATTGATCAACAGAGACAACAGCTGTTAGACCAGCTAAATGAGGCATGCCAGAAAGAGGTCAGAAAACTACAAGCTAAATGCAATGATCTCAAACTTGCAGAAATATCGATACAAGAAAATACAAATCTTCTTGGTTATCTGGAAAGATTTGGGACACCAGAAGAAATTATTTTAATGTTCAAATCAATTGCTGAAAGGATCAACCAAATGAGACACATGAAACCTGATGGTTTAAGTCACAGGCTCATGACTCGATTCACATTAGGTTCATTAACAGAGATGAATGCACAAATAATGTTTGGCCATCTCAATATCAGCAGCGTTCCATTTGATCAAGATGATTCTCCACAACCACGTCGGACAGCCCCAACTTTGATGCCCTCTGTCCTACAAACTCCTCAACTAATGGCTGTGTTTGATACTAAACTAAATACGGACTCAGTTGATGCTTGGCCTACTGGCGTCTCTGTGACTCAAGAGAAGGATTTTGTTATTGTGGACAGGGACAACAAGAAAGTGAAAATATTTGACAAAGAAGGCAAGCTTAAAAGAGAATTCCCAGGCAAAGGAGATCATGCACTAGGAAGTCCATTTGATGTCACAATTCTGCAAAATAGCAATATTGCTGTCACTGATTACAAGAATGAAGATGTGAAGATATATTTGATCAATTAGAAACTGTGTGACAGCAATCACTGGTCACTGTCGGCATCCTCGAGGAATAACCACAAATAAGAATGGACAAATCATTGTGGTAGACTGTCATTTACATCAAATAATGACTTTTCATCCAACAAGTGGGGAACTTCTATCAACAATTAGGGCTATATGGATAACAATTATGATCAGCTGTTGACAGACCCCTATTACATCAATGTGACTAACAATGGTGACTTGGTGGTAACAGATCAAGCTGCTCCTAACCTTAAAATACTTAATCCCAAAGGAGAATCCCTGACTCAGTATGGGACATACGGCACACACCAGAACCAAATACTGCAGCCATATGGTGTTTGCATTGACAGCCATGGATATATCTTTGTTGCTGACCACCAAAACAGCCGAATACATCTTTTGCTCCCTGATGGTAGATTCTTAAAGTTCCTCCTTACAAAACAAGACAAACTCTGCCATCCAGTGTCCATCAATTTGGACAGTGATGGTCACCTTGTTGTAGCCGAGGCACTTGGAAAAATCAAAATATTTAAATATATTTGATCACAATGTTGGGATGTAAAAATAAATCCAAAGGTTAAGGTTCAGTTTCATTGAAGAATCTGTTGATAATACAAGGTCACTTGCACCTTGGCCAGAGGTGAAATACAGACAATGGGCTGTGTCAAAGGGAAGCCCATCAGACCACAATCCTGGTGAGCTAAATATGTATCAATATTACCATTTTATTTGATGATATACACAAAATGTAGCCCTTGAGATGACAAAATATTCTAGCTTATGATATCTAATCTGAAACATATCAAGCCAACCTACCAAGCAAAGAAACTGTTCAAATGGTATAGCAGTCAAAAAGTGTCTGCTATGATGAGTTGTGTTTTAGGAATGATTACAAAATCATCTCCAACAGCATATATGTATATAGATTACTACACTTATCCCCATCAGATACTTCTTTTTATAACAATGAGCGCATTTCAAAACATTATTAAACAAGCAAAACCAAGTTAGATATACAGTGATTCCTCGCTGTACCGCTGTCATCGGGGTCCAAGATCCCAACCCCGCGTACTAGAATAGAGCATTGTACAGATATTCATTGCTGATGTTCACATTACGTAATGTTGGCAGTGTATAGAACTGTGGCGCAAGTATTTCACAGTGGCATGGGACATGTAGATCTATGTAACACTGATCATTGAGGATGATTCAAAATGCATGCGTAAAAAAAGAAAAAAAGTTTTTAGTATAAATGAATCAAAGTACAGTGTATTATTTTACGACTGGATGTTATATATGTAGATTCTATATAAGGTAACAAACTGTTGTTATATTCTAGTTTCTCGGAAGAAACATGGTCCGATCGACATTATCGATCGATGACAGTGAATTACAAAGCCTACCAAGCCTTTTAACCATACTAATGTGAGACCAAGGCTTTGATTGGTTAATATATGATGACATGTCTGTATGCACCTTATGTACATTACGTGTGTAACTACACGGTTATTTGAGCAATTTATAAAAATCAAACCACAAACGTAGATTTGAGTGGATGTACAGGGAAACATGTTGCGTTGAAACACTTGAAAGTGGCAGTTATGACCATGTACATGTAGTAATGAACACAAATTTTTATTTACTAAACAAGAGTCATCCGAAGATGACATATCCCCCCGACGTGGCATGTCGGTAAACTGTGTGTACCTTCAAATGTATTTAGATAGTTAAGGAAATCTTTTTCCTTGATGCCAAAACCAGAAATATAATGAAGGTTATTAAATATTGGTTCATGTAGCTCACTTTCTGATGATCTCAAATGTCAGGGGCTACAAATTAAAAAGATTAAAATCTATAAATAACAAACTGCACTACTAGTGAACATGATTGATATGTGCATAAAGTTTGGTGAATCTCTGTCGCATGGTTTAGAAGATATGCTCCAGACGAGGACATTACCCTAAGTTCATCAATTTTCAATTTAAATTGAAAAAAGAAAAAAAAAGAAATCTGTTAAGAGCAAAAGCACCACTACATAACCTGCTTGATAGGTGTAAAAACTTTTGAGAAGCTAGGTTGTATGGTTCGGGAGATATGGTCCAGACAAGAGCACTACCCTCAAATTTCCTAATTTCATAATATTTCCATGGAAACGACAAAAATATAAAATTCTAAAAATCTCTAAATAGCAAAAGGCACTACTACTGAGCCTGATTGTTTAGTGTACAAGTTTTATGAAGCTAGGTTGTACGGTTTAGGAAATATGCTCCGGATATGAGCACTAGCTACCCTCAAATTTCCTAATTTCATCATATTTCCATGGAAACGACAAAAATAAAAAAAATTAAAAATCTCTAAATAGCAAACGGCACTACTACTGAGCCTGATTGGTAAGTGTACCAAGTTTTGTGAAGCTAGGTTTTACGGTTTAGGAAATATGCTCCGGACAAGAGCACACCCTCAAATTTCCAAAGTTCATCATATTTCCATGGAAACGACAAAAATAAAAAATTCGAAAAATCTCTAAATAGCAAAAGGCACTACTACTGAGCGTGATTGGTAAGTGTACCAAGTTTTGTGAAGCTAGGTTGTATGGTTTAGGAAATATGCTCCGGACAAACAATGATTACAGACGGACAGACGGACGGACAGACGGACGGACTGATGGCATTACATGTCGGGGGGATAAAAAGGCACTGATTTTTGTTTGTTTTTTACTGTCCCATTCCTCTGTTCTCAGTTGTGAGAGTATACAGCGAATTTGCATCACTTGCATAATTAAACAAGAGTCATCAGAAAGATGACATATCCCCCCGGCAGCTGTCTGTAAAGTAACCACTAGTAAATGTGCAATTCTGTATGTAATGAGTCAACAGTTGAATGTTCTTTAAGAAGCATACATTGTTTACCCACTGAATGGTTTTCGAATTCTGGCCCGTAAACACACCCGTTCCCCAATGGAGTCTAGGTCAAACTTCATTCCATAAAAATTGTAAAAAATAAAATTTTAAAGAAAAAAAAATATCAAAAGGCACCATTTCAGTATGTGCCTGATAGCTTTTCCAAGTTTCGATCAAATACACTGAATGGTTTTTGAATTCTGCCCCGGAAACAAACCCCATCCCCAATTGAGTCTATGTCCAACTTCATTCCATAAAAATTTTAAAAAAATAAAATTAGTGAAATCCCAAAATATCAAAAGGCACCACTTCAGTATGTGCCTGATAGATTTGCCAAGTTTCGATCAAATACACTGAGTGGTTTTCGAATTCTGCACCGGAAAAGGAAATGATTACGGACGGACAGACGGACGGACAGACAGACTGGCTGATCGCTATATCCCCCCGCATTATATGCCGGGGGGATAACAATGCAGAAGTTCCAAGGTTTTTTAAGGTCTCTCACAGTTACTCAAGCAAAAAAAGGCACTATCAGTGTTCATATTGTGCCTTATTTTTGTTCCTTAAATTAAGCTAAATGTGAGTGTTGTTTTTTCAATGGTCTCATTAAGGTCTAGAAACTTTGCTTATCTCAAATGAAAGTCATTTTAAAATATTCCTATTTAAATTTTGAAAATCTAAACAATCCAATTCACAAATATATATAAATACACAAATATAGTGGATTCAGCAAATCATTGCTAGAACATGCCTCCACTGACATATTGTTCGGTGATGTTACACAAAGTCAGCGATCTAACCTACTCAGCCATGGAGGCTTCTACAAAAATGAAAGTCCAACAACTAGTAGTGTGGATCACATACTTTGTGTACCCCTGTGTGGGTTAGATTGCTGACTTTGTGTGCTGGTGATTAGGTGCCTCACTCTGGCAGTTTGGGTTCGAAACCCGGACAGGTCTCAACACCAAAAAGGTACGGGAATCTGTACTTAACTAAGAAATATTTATCCTTAATATTACATTTGACCACATTCTAAATGGTATTGTTTGTTCATAGTTTTCGGCAGTGGGATCCTGGCCAAATTACTCTTTATCAGATGGGTACACAAAGTACATGATCTAGACTATCAGTTGTTAGACTTTCATATTTTGCAGAAGCCTCGGTGGCTGAGTGGGTCAGATCGCTGACTTTGTGTGCTGGCAATTAGGTGCCTCACTCTGGCAGTGTGGGTTCAAATCCCGGGTGGGACTCAACCCAAAAAGGTACTAGAATCTGTACTTTACTAAGAAAGTGTTATCTCAAATATAACATTTTGATTTGACCACTTTCTAATTGGCATTGATTGTTCATATAAATAGTAATTCATGAATTATTGTTAATGCACCCATGTGTGAAAAAAAATCTCTCTCTCTCAACAAAACCAACATGTAAATATTAATAAAATCTCTACCTGTGTGCCTTGAGTTATTACTTCATAGAATTACTTCATAGAATCTGACAGCATGAACATGTATTTCTCTCGTTACAAATGTAGCATAGAGATCTGAACCGTTTCCATGTTATGATCCAGGATCTAAGTTTCCAGAAGCGGGGGTTCAGCCCTCCAATTCTCAAATTTGATAATGCTTATAACCAAATATGGTTGAATTCTATCTCTTAGTTCCATAGAAGTCGTTTAAAGCAATATAGCCAAATTACCCCTATTTGACCCCGGCCCTCAGGCCCTTGGGGGTCAGCCCCACCATTTGCACAATTTTGAATCCCCACCACCTTGGGATGCTTCGTCAAATTTCGGTAATATCCAATTTGTGGTTCAGAAGAAGAAGAAGTTGCTTGAATAAATTGTTGACGTACGGACAACGGGCGGACGACGGACACCACAGTATATGCATGATAATAATAATCAAGTCTGGACAAGACAATCCATTGATTTTACATCATGAGCATCGATCCACGCAATTGGGATCCATGACATGCAGCAACCGATTCTGCAAGTCTGACCACCTGATCCTGTTAGTCGCCTCTTATGACAAGCATAATTGCCTTTTACAGCAAGCATGGGTTGTTGAAGACCTATTCTACCCCAAATGTTCACGGGTCAGCTCATAATTGATGATGATGAGGTGACAATGAAGTAATGACCTTTGTCACTATCATATTGAAAAGTCATACATGGGATTCAAATCCCTTGAACAAAATGGGGTGTCA